AACCATTATTAAAATTAAACAAATATCTTTAAAAATTCTATATTTTTTACTTAAAAAAAATCTTCATCAATAAGTTGTTTTATATTTTTTCTTTTAAAATCCAATAATTAAATGAAGATTTTATATTATATATAATCAAAAATAATCAAAATTATATTTATAAATTATGAAAAAACAAGAAAACCAAGCCGATATATATAACTAACTCCACGACCATATAGTCAAAGATACAGCTTAAAACCTAACCGAGTTTGTCCAAAAAAATATAACAACTAAATTCGATTCCATATGTGATATTGGTGGTGGTACAGGAGTTCTATTAATGCATCTAAAAAATGTATATCCTAATATACACACTATATTAGTTGAACCGTCTTAAAGTATGGTCGACTAATTAAAGGACATTTAATTTAAGCCTGATGAAATTCATGTATAAACTGGGGAAGAATTTGTAAAAAACTATAAAGATAAGCCTTTGGATTTAATTATATTATAAGGTAGTGTCCATTTTATTAATGAACTTGAGGAATTTTTGTAAAATATAAAAAAGTGCTTGAGCTCGAATGGGTGTGTATTAATTTCAAGTAGAGATAGGGATAATGGATGGCCTTTTGGAAAAAATCTAAGAAAATATTTTGAATTATCTATTCCTTATGATACTTAATAAATTATCGAGATTTGTTAAAAAATCGAACTTAATTGTTAAAAGATTGGATTAAGAGAAGAAATGAGTATAGATAAGAAATTATGGCTTAATATTATTTAAAATAATATTAGAATTCTTTCTATTATTGGAGCTTTGAATGACTAAGAAAGAAAAGAAGAATATGAAGAAATTTGCTAGAAATATCAGAATTCAGAGTAAATTTAATGTTTTGATGAATTCTATAGGATCATTATTAAATAATAATGATTTTTATATATTTATTTATTCAAATAATAATAAAATAAAAAGAGAGAGTGATAGAGTTTATTAAATTTCAAATATTAAAAAAAACAAATTATATAATAAATAAAAACATAAAAATGTTTTTATTTAGAATTTTTTGTTTTTTTGTTTTTTGTTTTTTTTTTAAAAAAAATAAAATAAAAAAAAATTTTTTGTTAATCATAATAAGGAATTTTAAAGTTAAATAAAATTATAATTTTTTGACAATTTTATTTTATATATTAATAATAAAATAAAAATTAAAGTAAAAAAACTTATAATTATTATTAAATTTAATAACAATTAATAATAGATTATTATCAAAAGCTTTTAATTTTTTTTAAAAAAAAATTGTTTATAATTATTATATTTTCCTCATATAAAATCATTAAAATTTTTCTATTTTATAAAAGAAAAAAAATTATTCAAAAACTAAAGGAAAAAATATTAAATATTTTTACAATTTTTAACCTAAAAAAAAAAATTAAAAAAAAATATATATATATAAAAAAAATGAGTTCTATTTATTAATTCAATGCCGAACTTTATGACTAACTCCATTCTAATATATATTGTGATAACTCTCAAAATCTCCATAAATTTATAAAAGAAAACATAAAATCTCCTTTAAAAGTAGTTTGTGATATAGGAGCCGGTACAGGCAAGCTCTTATATAATATTAAGAAAGAGGATTTAAATATACATACAATATTAGTCGAACCAGGTTAAAATATGGTAGATTAAGCCTAATAACTAGATGTTTTACCTAATTAAATATATGTATGTGATGGTGAATAATTTGCTTAATAATATAGAGGCCCATAAATAGACTTAGTTATATTATAAGGGTGTGTTCATTTTGTGAAAGATTTCCTTGAATTCATGAGAAACATCTAACCTTTATTATCTGAAAATGGCAAAGTTTTAATATCTACAAGGGATGTAGATAATGGCTTTCCTTTTTAAAGAAATTTAACTAGGGAATATTAAACATCAATTTGCTTAAATCCTTAATAATTGTAAAAAATATGCGAAAAGCTAGATTTTTCTGTAAATATTTAAAAATATAGAGAAAACAAAGTTATAGAAAAGTAACTTTGGTACGAAATAATCAAAAATGACATAAGAATTATATCTACTATTGGAAAGATTAATGACTAGGAAAGAATCGAAGAACTTTAAGAAATAGAAAATAAATATAACGGTGAAGAATATATTTACTTTTTTGATGAAGTACATAGAATGATTATTTAAAAATAATGATGTGAGTTAATTTTGATTTTATTTTTTGGTTTTATTTAATATTATATATATATGTATTTACTCCTTAATTTTTTTTATATATATATTAATACATATAATATTTACAAAATTTTTCATAAATTATTTGTGATTTTGAGTATTTATATTGATTGTTATAATAATAAATGTTTTTTTAATTAATAATAATATCCTATAAAATATTAATATTGAAAATTATTTACAAAACTTAATATAGAAAATTATTTACGAATATGATTTTATAATTATTAAAAAAAATATAAAAAAAATTAACTATATGAAAATTTAAAAATATTAATTAAAATATATAATTAATCTATTATATTATTAAATAAAATTTTATGTTTTTTTACTTTTCCTTTTTTTTTTTATAAAACAGTTTTTATAAAAAATTTATTAAGCAAAAAATGGTATTTTCTATATATTTTTTTTAATTAAGTTAATTACATGTCTTACATGTCATAATATATCATTTTAATTCCCGAAATATCCATCAATTTATAAAATAAAACATAAAAAATCATTATAAAATTAATTTTTGACATAGTTGTTTGTCTTGGACACTCTTATATATTATAAATAATAAGAAGTGTAAAAATACATATAATTTAAAACGAACCAGATTATAGTTTTAATTAGATATTTTAACAAATTAAATATATAAATATTTATATATTGGCTAATAATTGGATAAATAAAATCAAGAAAATAATTGTATTTAAAGATATTATTAAAGATATTATAGGAATATATTAATATAAAGAATGAAAATATAACATTTATTAAAAAAAAAAAAAAAAAATTATTTTATAAGAATAGTAAATAATAAATTTATAAAAGATACGATGATATCATTTATCTTATTTTAAAAAAGATAATAAAAATTTGTTGTTTTGTCAAACATATATATAAAAATATAAAGAAATTAACGTTATAAAAATAAATATATTTATAAAATATAAAAATTTTTTAATAGTATTGTGTATAAAATTTAAATAATTAAAGATGATAAAAGATTTATAATCTTAATAATTAAAAAAATGAAGTATTTATTTATTTTTTAGAAATAGTTTAAATAAGAAAAAAAATTGCATGTTTTTAAAAAAAGAGATATATAAAAATAAAATAAATTATTTATTTATTTTAAATAAAAAAACAAATTAATTTAATAATTATTTATTTATAACTTTATAGATTCTTATATATTATAGTTATTTAATTAATAATTAAAAAAAAAAATTTTAAATATTTATAATTTTATATATATATTAAATTTAAAATTTAATAAATATAATTAATTATATAATAATAAAAATATATAATTATTATTTAAATTATATATTATATATATATTTATATATATATATATATTATTCTATATTAATTTTAAAAAATAATTATATATATATATTATAGTTAAAAAAATGATTGAATTAAAAAATTAACAATAATTTTTAGGTAGAACTGAAATATTAAAATGGATAAACACAACATTATCCGTAAATAAAAAATCATTAAATTATATATAATAAAATATAGTTAAATATCGAAAAAATTGAAGATTTAGGTAAAGGAGCTGCATATTGTTAAATATTAGACATAATATATCCAAATTCAATTCTAATGTAAAAGGTAAATTTTAATGCCAAAAACGAATATGAATACTTGACAAATTTTAAAGTTTTAACCAATTGTTTTGATAAAAATGGTGTATCTAAACCTATAGATGTATTTTATTTTATTTTATATAAATTATATATTCTAAAAAGGTTTTAAAATTAGTGAAATGTAAATATTAAGACAATTTGGATTTTTCTTAATGGCTTAAATACCATTTTCATTTAAAATGTGGTGAAAAAGCTCCTTCTGATTATGACCCGATTGCCAGAAGAGACAATAAATAAAAATAACAAAAAAAGAACAAAAAAATTATTAAAAATCCTAATAAAAGACCTTTAAAATAAGTATACATAAATACCGAATAATAGGAAATTAATTAAGATTAAGATTAAGATTAAGAATAAATATCGAAAGTTAGTTAAGAATATAATAGTTTAGTTTAGGCTATAAAGAGTGTTTTGTAATAAAATACATCGAATGAAAATATAATTTCGTAGTTAAAAAACTTAATTCATGATGAAAATTAATTGAAAGAAAATAACAATATTATGAATATGAATTTGGAAGAAAATATTAATAATTAAATTTCTAATAAATAATAATAATGATTTTTTTTAAATTTAAAAAAAAAATTATATTTTTTTATATTAATAAAACACATTTATCATTATTATTATTTTTTTTTAAAAAAAATTGATATTATTTAATAAATAAGATATTAACAAAATAACAGTAATTGTTATTATTATTATTATTTTTTTTTAAAAAAAAAACAAAACAAAACAAAAATTAAAAAAGATATTTACAAAATTGATAATTTAATAAAAAATAAAATATTTATTTAATTTTCATTTAAAAAAATAAAAAACATAAATATATACTATATAAATTTATTAATTTTTTTATTTTTTTTTTAATTAAAATACAATTTCAGTTTCATTATAAAAAACAAACAAAAAATAACAATTAAAAAAATATTTATAAAATATGTAAAATTAAAAATCGTATTTCCGTATCCATTAAATCAATAATCCAATTCAAAATAAAAAAGAAGACCAAGAAAGAACATGGCAAAGATTAACATCTCCCACATGTTCTTTAAAAATGCGCAGTTAAGCCATAAAATCATAATAAAATGAGAAATTACTTTCCTTTTATTAAAATTCAAGGTAAAAAAATAAAAATTCAATTTTTTCTTTAAAAAAATAAAAAAAGAATTTTAGATAATCATTTTGGAAAAATGCACAGAAAACCATGGATTTCACCTGGTTTATAGCCTAAATAGTATTTTTTTTCAAAAAAAATAATAAAAATAAATAAATTTCATTTAACAAAAAATTAAGAAATTACGAATATAGTGATTCAGGTTTAACCGTCAAATTTTTACAAGAACTTGAAAAAAAAAACTTTGTGAATTACTAATAAACATAATAAAACTAAACATAAAATACACAAATAGAAATATTTCGAGAATACCAAGAATTCGAAAAAATTCGTGAAGGAGAAATCATTATAACAATCGAATATTGGTAAAATATTAAAATATATATCTATATATAAATAAAAAATAGTACAGGATGTAGTCAACATTAATAAACTACTCGTCATAAAGAAGAATAATACTATGATTATGCTATATTAATAAAAAAATACATCTAAACGCACTATCCTACTATTAAAATATATTTAAAACCACTTCTTACATCCGATAATAACCAAAAAAATGAAAATTAAGACTTAAGATGTCGATTAGGGGCTATGGAAGTGTAATTATGTACAAATAGGAATAGAAAAATAACTAAGGAGATCATTTTTTCTAAATTAAAGACTAAATAATGGCCTAAAATGTCATATATATTAAATAAAATTAGAAACTTTATGTAGTTTACATCTTTATAGGTACATATTTCTCTAGAAGGTTTTAATTTATAAGATTTACCAGAAAATGAATAAAAACTTTAAATAATAAATATATAATATTCCAATAATTCTAATTCCTTCTAGAAAAAAATCTCCAGAAATCCATCAGCTATAACTGCTTTAGACAAAAACGATATATATAGACCTTTTAGTGGTAAATTTAATGAAGAAACTACCAATCAAGACCCGTAAGTGAACCTATAGCCTTATAAATACCCATAACAGGTTCTTAAATTGGAGTTCAAAGACCAAATAGTAGTTCTTAACCATTTAGACCGCAAAGTGGGGTTAGTTCTTCCATGTTTTAGGCAAATAAAAAAAAAAATTAGTAATAAGAAGGATAGGTAACCGAAAAAACAGATATAGATAGTATCGCGTATTTTGAAAATATCCCTTTAGATAATTATACGATGGAAATAAAAGAAAATAATGACTTCAAAGGAAGTATTACTGTAATTTTAAATTATTTACATTAAAAAATATTAATAAAAATATTTTATTTAAAAGAAAATAAATATGTTTAGAAAAGTATAAGATGGCAATTAAACTGAATTTATAGTATTATAACCAGTATAAATAACGTTTGCGAAAATAATATGTAAATATCAAGATGAAAGTGGATATATAGGAAATTTAAAAGAAGCAAACATATCCATAACACCATATAATAAAAAAGATTAAATATAACATGAAGGTATATAATATATATAAATATATATATATAAAGATATATATATATATATATATATATATATATCATTAGAAATTTTATATGATATTGTTAACGGAACATATTAAGTAAATTTAATACCTGGAAAATATAAGATTTAAGTAGAAAAATTTGGATATAGTAATATAGAAATGGATTATGAGTTTAAATTTGGTAATTAAGAAGTATAATTGCCGATATCTTAAAAGAATAATTAATAAGAAAATCATAATTAAAATCATTATTAAAATAATAAAAATAATATAAATATTAATATTAATATTAATAATAATAATAATAATAATAATAATAATAATAATAATAATAAAAAATAATAATAATAATTAAAATAACTAAAAAAATCATAAAAGACTCCTTTCTGGTAAAGTAGATAATTCTATTAATAGTAGCTAGATTTTATCTAATAATAATAGTGTAGTTTTTAAAGATAAAAATATGCCAATACGTCCCAGTTCTGCTAATAAAATTCTAAAAATTTAAATTTATGAAGCATAAAATTTCAAAAATTTTGTTAAAGATTGCATCGTTAGAGTATATTTTTTTTTTTGTTGATAATAATTGTTTATCATAATTTTTAAAATATAAAACAGATAAATGATAAAAGAAGATAATAAACAATAGAACATATTACTGATTAAAAAGGTTAATGTGAAGTTGTTTTAGATGGTTTTTTCGAAGGGACATTAGAAATAGAACATTAAAGTTTATATATATATATATTGAATATATAAAAATTATAATAATAAATATATATTAGATTATATGAAAATTGTTGAAGAATATGGATAAAATAAATTGGATTTAAATAAAATGACCGAATTATGTTTTCCATTAATAAAAAAGCCATAGACTGATAATGAAGTCAATATTTTATTACTATAAGACACAGAAAAGAAAATCCTTACATTAAATTTAATAACACCAAAAGATGAAATAATAAATAAAACAAAAGGAGAAATAATAGTAAATATTAATACTGAATAAAAAAGCTAATTAATAAAAATTAATAAAATAAAATGTATAATAAATAAATTATATATATAATAAAATATATATATATATATATATGTATTATTTATTATAGAATAATCAGGGATATATAGATTATATGCAAATATAGATTTATTATAATATTTAACTCCATAATCATTAAAACTATACATTATAACTTAAAAAACAATGCATTTTGTAGAAGTTCCTAAATAACATCCTTTAGGATTAGAAAAAAATTTAATTTGGGATATAGGCGTTATTTGTGGTAATTATATTTTTATATATATGATATTTTGCATTAATTTTTTTTATGATAATTTTTAAAAAAGGTTCTAGTGGAGATTTTGTAGAAATAAATGCTGTTACTTCTTAGGAGATAAAAAGGGAAAGCTATTTAAATTAATATAAGAAATTAATCGATTTTTTACATAATTCTAAATAAATTGATATGAAATCGATACTTGGATTTAATAAAACAGATAAAGATAATGATGTTTTGTAAATATAAGGAGATATTTTTGTAAAAAAGAAAAATAGAATCCAGTTTGGAAAATATATTGATAAAAACGCAAATGGAATTGAACATTTAATTAATTCGGCTTTAAATACAAATGGACTTTATAGTTTTAATAAAATTAAAGCGAAATTTGATAGTATAAAATCACCTGTTAATTTTGGAAATTTAGTTAAATTACACGAAGAAGAAGATGAAGAAGATGAAATGCTATGAAAAATCAATTTTTTCTATATAAATATTAAAATACATATATATAATTTAAAAGATAAATAATATTTTTTTAAATAATAATTATATATAAAATATTTAAATATAAATAAATATATATAAAATGTTTACATTTTCAAGAATTTATTTAATTTAAAAAATCATTTTTATTTTCATAATATTATTTTTAGATAAATATATCCTATAATTTTTAACAATTATTAATAAAATTATTACTTAAAAATGTTTTTCTAAAATCATTACAATATACTTTTTTAAATGTTCTATTTAAATCAATTTTAAGTTTATTATTATTATTATTATTATTATTATTATTTTTATTATTATTAATATTTAAAATAATCTTTGAATTATTTTATTTTATATATTTGCTAGTTTATTATTTTTAATTTTGTTTTACTTACATTATTCTAAGAGATAAAGATTTTTATATATTATCTTATTTTTTATTTTTATATATATTTTAAATAATTTAATCTATTATAGCATTATTTTTCTTAGTTTAGATATTACTATTTTAAATTTAATATTCTTCTAATTTTTTATTTTCAATTTTAACTTCCTACGAATTTTACAAAGATTTATATCTATCTCTATTTAACATATTTTTCTAAAAAAAAATAATAAATAAAAAAAAATATATATATATTTATAATATTTTAATTAGTTTATTTAGATTTATAATTTACGTTTTCTTCATTTGGCGAATTTTTTAAATTTTCTTTTTTCTTTGATTATACTTTTTTTAATCCTTATAAAAATCTTGCTTTTTTAAGTTAATTATCACTATATTTATAACCTAAATAATTATTTATTTTAAATTTATCTATAATATTTAAATTTTTATTTTTTTAATTTTCATATTATTGTCCTATTTATGAATTTTTTTCTTATAAATTCATTTATATAATTCTAAAAACATTCTAAAAAGTATAATTTTTATCATAATTAAAAATTGTTAGATCTTCTTTATATTTATTATCTAAAGATACTTATTTTTTTTATATAATCCTTTTTTTAAATTATTCTAATTAACGTTATTTATCTTTTTAATTTTTTTAATATTCTTATTTATTTTTAAATTTTTTTAATGTATAGTTTTTATTTTCTAATAAATTTTCAAAGTTTTAAGCTTTAATTTTATTTTCTTCATATTATATATCTAAATAACTTCCAAAATTAGTAAAATATTTACTTTTTGCACTATACATTTAGGATTCTCTTTATAATTTTTAATTATTAGGGGTATATTATGAATTATTTTTATGAGTAATATTAAGTTTTTAATAAAAAACTTCCTATTTTTCTTCTATATATTATTAAATTAATTCGTTTTTTCTTTATCTTCTCCATTAAAATTTAATTTCGAGAAATTATTTAAAATATTAAAATTAAGTTTCCATTTATCTAAATTTAATGAAAAAATCTTCTTAGGAAATTTAATATAGCTCACTCTAAATAGAACTACTTATTATACAAAATTCACGTTTTTTATTATTTTCAAATAATATAGATTCTTCTCCAAAAAAATCACCTTAACTTAAATTTCCAATTAAGATTTATCTTTTTATTTTTATTTTTCGACTTTCTTAAATATCATCAATTTCATTAACTTCTTCTTCAAGTTCTGTAATTATTTTAAATTCTCCTATTTTTAAAAATAAAAATATATAAAAATATGTAAATATATATATATATATATATTATATTTATATACTTTTAGATATTTTATTTATTTCTACATATTTATAGTTTATATATAATTATAATTACATATTTTACCTTTTTTATAATATATAAATTATCTGGCATATCATTTTCTTTATATACATAATTATTTTTTTCTATTATTTTTTAAAAAAGGAATAAATTAAAATTTTTAATTGATCCTTTAAAAAAACTTAAAACTACTAAATATTCTAAAAAAACTTAATTTTATTTTCGTTATTTTGATTTTCAATACTTTCAATAATTTTAAAAAAATCTTTTTAAAAAATACACGCGCATTCACATTCTTTTTCTGTATAATATGATAATTTTTTTTCTCTTGAATTAAAAATAAATCACCAAAATATTAACCACTTTCTTTTACAAAAATACTATTTGTTTATTTTTCTTTTATTTTAATTCTCCCTTAAATTATAATATAAAAGTTATTATTTTCATCATCCTAAAAAGCATAATCTTTATCAAATTTTTTATAAACGAATAAATTTAGTATCTTTCTAAGTGTAAAAAGCCCGTATTTGTTTTTATTTAATTAAAAAAAGGCACATCATCCTTAAATAAACTAATTAAAATATTCTAATCGCTTGTATTTCTCACATTCTAGGGCTTTTGGAATATATATCTTTATAATTATTATTAATCTACTGGACTAAGTTATAACTAAGGGTTATTTAAAAATGTTTAGTATAAATATTCGTTTTTTTTAAAAGGATTTTTTATAACTTAAGAAAATTATTCGAAAGTATTATTTTATTTTTAATTTTTTTTATGTTTTTTTAAAACACTAACTTTTTATGTAATTACATTTTTAAACATTTTCTTATTATTAAAAATTTTAATATTTTTTATATATTTTTAATAAAAATATATAAACTATTTATTAATAACATTTTGTATTTTATTTTATATTAAATTACAACAAGAAAATATATTATTTTATAATCAAACGTTTGACTCGTGTACTTTTTTATTGAATGCATCATAAAATGAGCCTAAAGCACCAATAAAGCCATCATGTTTTACAAAAAATGCCTTTTTGTGATAATATTAAGATTATATATATTTAAAATAATAACTTAATTTTAATTTTATTTAGATTATGCTTAATTAAAATAATCAATAGCATGATCAATACAGTCCATTGTATCAGGATGATTTCTAACAAAATTACCCGCAAAAATAATACTATATACAATTATATATATATTTTATAAAATAATAATTAAAATTAAAAACTTTTATATCCCTTCTAATTTCGCTTAATTAAATGCAATTTAACTCAAATTAAAAGAAGTCATTAATAATAAGCTTTTAACAATATCTTGTTTACTATTTTTATTATTTAATAGAAAGTAATAGAAAATAAATTTTATAAAAAATACTTGACATCTTAACCTTCTTTTAATTTTTAAGTCATTTTACCCATTCTAATATATATATATATATATATATATATATATATATATATATATATTATATATATATATATATATATATATATATACGAAACACATAAAGCATCTCCATGAATATCCTTTGGTGCATTTGATTAACCAAATATATCACTTACATATAAGTCAAGATTTTAATTATCTCCTTTATTACTAATATCAAGTAACGAATTGAAATTATTTTCTCCTGTCAAAAGATGAGCTAAGCCTAAAAAAAAACCTCCTCCAATACTTGTTCCATTAACTCTTTAAATAGTCCCTTCATCTAAAAATTTAATTATACTAACCCCACTTCCTACATTAACTAATAAAAAGGGGAAAAGACTTTTATTTTTAACTATATATTATTGACCTTTTTATTTACTATATGTAAAAACAGTATCATTTGGTGTTAATTAATCTAAAAGTAAAAAGCCCATCCTTAATGATTCAAATTCTTAGACTTTTATAATTTCTACTTTAAGTCTTTTTTGAAATAATTCTTCGAATTTATGTGCACCACCTCCTGTTATGTAAAATTTTTTAGTAATAAAATTCATATTTAATTCTAATTAATATATTTATAAAAGTCTTTTTTTTTTCTTTTTTTTTACAGTCTATAAAATCTATTAATGATTCAACATCATTAGTTTAAAAAGTTTAAAAAAAGACATCAAAATCACTATAAGATCTAACTACGTTTTTTTTAATAAAAAATATATATAATATTATATATATACATATATATATATTAATACTTGCTAAATGTTCTATATGTTTAAAATCTACAGGGGAACCTTTTTATAATGCAAAACATAATTTCGCAAGAGTTCCTCCTATATCAATTCCTACATATGGAATTAAATATTCAATTGAAGCTGATTATTAACGTTTTAATTTATTTGTGTTCATTTTATGATTTGCTTGTTATTTTCTAACAAATTTTAAAGTGAAATAATTAATTAATTAAATATATATATATATATATATATATATATATATATATATATATATATATATATATATATATATATATATTTTACTTATTTTTGTATAAATAATATTTTAACAATATCTTTTTGTTTAAAAATAAATAAATAAATATTAATACTATTAAAATTTATTTACAAAAAAAAAAAAAAAAAAAATTTTAAATTTAAAACATTAAATTTTTTTTTTTAATATAAAAATTTAAACATAAAAACAAAACAAAAAAATCAAGTCTATTTTTATTTATCTAATATATCTTAAATATCTTTTTAAATAATATCAAAAGAAATATTTTATGGAAAATAATTATAAACTTTCCCTTATTAATCAACTAAAAATTTACAAAAATCTTCATTTATTTTAATACCATTCATAATTTTATAATTATATAAGACCGAATTTCTCTTCAAAAATTTGTACAAAGGATGTATATATTATCCGTTTATTTCTAACTTTCCTAAAATAGGAAATTAGCATTTTTATAAATGAATTTATTTCGTTTTTTCATAATTAAATGGCTCATTATGGAATTAATTAGATGGAATACCTAAAATTTCAACTTAATTTGCAAATCTTTTCTTTAATTCATTCAATTTATTAATTTATTCTTAATAACAATTATTTTAAGAACCTAAATTTACAACTATAACTACTTTGTTTTTCGTAATATCGCCTATTAATATCTCTTCTTTATCTAAAGTTATGCTTTTTATTTCATGTATACTATTATATTAATTTTCTACATATTCATTAAAAAAAACAATTTTCTTATTCCAGAATTTCCCATAATAAAAATATGTAATATATATTAATATTTTATTAAATATAAATATTTCAGTATTTTTAATATTTTATTTTTTTATAAGTATAAAATAATATATAATATTTAAATATCCATATACATTTTTATTTATTTTCAATTAATAAAATTTCATATTTCATGTATGTATTTCTCCTGTAACATAATCAGTAAATGTATTTGATCTATGGACAAAAAAATGCTCACCGTATGTATATAAATGAAGAGTCGGATCTTCCGGAAATCCTTTATAAGCAATATCCGATTAATAATTATATCCGATTTCTTTTAATATTTATGTTGTATCTTTTAAAACTAATTTGTATTTTTAATAACATAAATTAAATAAAGGAATATCTACAGACTAAGATATTTAATTAAATGTCTTTTTAAAACATATAGAAGTCATATCCTTTTATTTAATTATTATTATTAATTTTTTGTAAAAAAAATAAAATATAATATAATACAAAAAATTAATATAATTTTAATAAAACTATATACTTTTTAAATTTAATCTAACATTTCCTTTCTTTCTTCATTATCCATTTTTATATAAAATAATAAAATTTATAGTATAATTATTTTTATAATTTTTAATATAAAAAATTATATGTATATATATATATAATAAATATATATATATAAAAATAAATAATATATATATATATTTATACATGTATTTATATATTTTCTTTATTTAATTAATTTATTTTTTTTCATTATAATTTGCTTTTTAATAACCCATCTTATTTATTCTCAAAAAACCCTACCCATTTTAAAGTTTTTGTATCATTTATATTATATTAAAGTATTTATTATTATTTTTTATCAATCTTTTATATTTTTTCATTATATTCATTATTTTCTTCAAAGTTTTCATCTAAATAATCCATTTTAGGTAAAGGTTTATTTTTATCAACTAAATTTTATTCTAATTTTCTAAGTTCTTCTTCTTCATCATCATCATTATCTACGTCTACATATTCATCTTCCGAAGTATTTTATTTTTAAACTTTATTATTATTAGGTAGTATATTATTACTATTCAAATTAGAAATAGAAACATAATCATCATATATATCTATATCTTGATTTTATTTTGGTTTTTTTTATTATTATTTTTAAATAACTTTTGAATGAGTATTTTAAAAATCTTTTTTTACGTTATTTTTTTAAGATTATATTTAATAATTACTCATAAATTCTTCACTTTAAAATAATTAATTTTATTTAAGAAAAATTCTAATATTTTCCAATAATTCCTAATCAATAATCTCATTATTATACAATTATACCTATATTAGACATTCATTATAATTTTAAATAATATCAAGTATAATTTCGGCAGATTCAAAGCTTAAATAATTGTCATTTAAATACAAAATCTTTAATTTTTTATTATATTTAAGACAATCTTTCAAATATAAAAAAGAACAATCTTCAATTCCACAATTACTAAGGTTTATTTCTTCTAAGCTTTCATTTTTTATAAGACCTAAATTTATTCCTTCTAAACATTTTGAGTTTAAGCTAATGTTATTTAAATGAATGGACTTCAATCTATCATTGTTGCATAAACATTCAAATAACATACAAATTCCATTTTCACTAATATCTTCATTTTATCCTAAATATATTCTATCTAATTTATTTTCTACTTATAAAAGTAAACTAATTATACATAAAAGTCCATAATCTGATATTCCATTATTATGAATTTGTAAATTTTAAAGTTTACTTAATTTTTATAATCCGAAACTTAATTTAATTAATCCTTCATCTTATATATTAAGGCCTCCTAAAAATAAATAAATATAAATATAAATATATATATATGAGTATTATATATATATATATATATATATATAAATTTATATAATATATATATATTTATTTACATAAAAATATTCTTTTAATTACCTAATCCTAAAATTTCAAGGTTTTATAATATAGGTATAATATTAGATAATCCTTCAATTCCAGTACCTTATAAAAATTAATTATTTCCTAAATAAAGTTCTCTTAAATTTGTATGATATTACATCCCTAATAACATGTTTAATATTCCTTAATCTGTTAGATTATTTGATCCTAAATGGATTACTTCTAAATTTTTATGAAGTTCTAATAAATATATTCCTATTGTTAATGAATCAAAGTCATCTATATTACAATTCGATAAATCTAATGCCTTTTTTGAACCTAATACATATGATTGAACTGTTTCTTATCTAATTTATACTATATCTTCTACTTTTTAACTTATTTCTGTATCTTCATTTTATGGAATTTACTATAATAAAATTTCTGTTTATTGCTTCAATTTTTCTAAATATTATTCTTATTATTATTCTTCTTAATTTTCATAAATATATTATTATTATTCCATATTTAAAATAATAAATTTTTATTTATTTTTTTTAAAAATATTAAATAATAAATATATATATTTACATTAATTAGAATTTTTTAAAAAAAAATTAATATAAAAATGGGAAATGGATCTTCTAAAAAAAAGAAAAACTTATAATAAGAAATATATTAATAGTAAAAAAATCAATAAAAATCATAAAAATATGAGCCATTTTCAGAATAAGAAGTACAATAATTAAAAAGCAAATTCAATGTATTAGATACTGAAAAAAAGGACAAATTACATTATAATAATTTAAAAATCTTTTAGAGATAAAAACTCATTAGTTTAGATAAAGAATATATTAAATAATAGAATAATAGTTACAAGAGAAGCAAAAAGAACTAATTGATTTTGATTTATTTATATATTTTTTAGAACCTTTTCATCCACTTACAGATATTAATAAAAAACATTAGTATTTATTTAATGTATATGACGTCGGAGGTGTATATTTATATATATATATATATATATTTATATGTAAATAAATATATTAATTTAATAAAAAAAGGATAATAAAATATCAGAAAGTGATATAAAAAAAGTTTTAAAATTATTTTATAAAATATAAATTAATAATTAGAATAAATGTAAAATATATTATAATTTAAAAGCATATATATGTTTTTATGTATATAAACAAATATAATATATATAATTATGTTTATATAAATATTAAAAGAATCAAATTAAATTTAAGAAAATAAAAAAAATCGATATGTAGAAGAAATAAAAGAAGCTTTTATGTCTAATGAATAATATTTAGAAACTTTAGCTAAAGATATAATGCATAATTTTGATAAAAATGGTACAGGAGATTTAGATTTTGAAGAATTTAAAATGTATGTAGATGATTTCGATTTATAATTTAGACTAAATATTCATTTTTGATATAATAATAAAAAAAATATTATATATATTTATAAATATAAACATTTATATATATATATATATATATAAATATAAGCATTCAAATTTTTATACATATAAATAGAATATTTATATTTATGATTTTTAATTTATTATCTTTTATTATTTTATATATATTATATTCTTATTAATATAATTTTTTTTTTTAATTAAATAAAAATAATTATTTACTATATATATATAAATAAAATTATTACTTATAATATATGATAAAATATAATATAAAATTATATATTTTTAAAAAATATAAATTAAATATAAATAATAATAAAATAAATATAATTAAATATTTAATAATTAAATAAAATACTAATGAATATTTAATAATATATTATTAATTTTAATTTTTTAAACATATTTTTAATTGTTCAATTGTTTTTTTTTGACTTATATAGACTATTTTATATTATTTATTATCATATAAATAAAAATTAAAAAAAAAATTATATAATTTTTATAAATTTTTTATAAAATAATTTTTATATCTTTTTTTTTTTATAAAAGTACGAAAGAAAATGTTAATTAAATTATTAAATTTTAGTAGCTAGTTTTTAATAAATATAATAATAAATATTTAAGAAGATGAAATAAAATAAAAGGAATAAATTATAATTAAATTTAAATAATATAATATAAATATAAAAAAATATTTGTAATATCTTTTAAAAAATTATTTAAAATATAATATTTATATATTACTTTATAATTGCTAATATTTTTATTTATAATAAAATATTAAGAATAATGATTATAATAAAAAATATTAAATTTTTTTATATATTTGTATTGATATATAGTATAAATTAATGTAAAAAAAATATAAGAAGAAAATATAAATTATAAATAATAAATTATAAATCTATTTATATATTTTTATATGAAAATAAATTTATTTAAAATTATAAAAATATATTTATTAATATCAATAATAAAAGTATATATTAAATATATAAATATATATAAATATATATATATATATATATTTAATAATAATATAATTATATATATATTTATTTTAAATTACTATATATATTTTTTAAAAAAATATTATAAAATAAGTATAAATAAATATCATAATGAAAATAATCAGAAATTTTCTTAGATAATAATCTTTGTAATTAAATTAATCATACTTATAAATTAAATTAAAACTTAGTAATTTTCCAATTTAAATTTATCCTTTAACAACATTAATATTTGGTTTATTATATTTTTTTTTATCTGTTTTTTCTATTCACTTTAACATAAGTTCACTAATAATACTACTATCTATACTGATGTACTTATAACTATAAATGGCTTAAATAAAAAAAATAGGTATTATAAATAAAATATCTCCTAATCTGAGACGAATAATCATGCATAGATCTTTATTCGACATACTTTGTGATTTATGGTATTTTCCTGTCATTCCTAAATATATAAAAGCTATATTCGGTCCATTTATATTCAAAGAAGACCCAGAAATTACTGCATAACACTTCAATGAACTTCATCCAGGATTTAAGAAGCTTATTTTTACAAAGGGATTAATAAATGTGTTGCCTTATAAAATAAAAAATTTTATTCTTCCTGAAAACATATTGGAAATAAACTCTGATCATTTAGTAGAAGGAGATGAGAACATAGAAATAATAAAAAAAATAAAAAAATTAAGCATACTCAAGAGAAAATTCCGAAACGAATTCCTAGTCTAGCAAAAAAAGTCCAAATATGGAAATTTTAGATAATTTTGAAAAAAGTAAAGACACTGAATTAATTTGCAATAGTGAATTTGTTTCGAATTA